AGAAAGCAAGGATCATTTGAGTAAACTTTACATTAACAATTTTACAATTAAGTAATGACCCAGGGCTTTCATCAGGGATTATAAGACAGAAGAGAATATCACTTAGTAAAATAAGTGAGAAAATACTTTTGTTTTCGATGAAAACATTTTAGTTAGAAACAGAGGCCTTTTGTTTTTTCATCCTCATTAAATTACTTCCTGAAGCTTCGGAAAACCAGTACACACAAAACGAAAGCCAGGGCATTCTGCTTATTTAAAGGAAACGTGTAAAATAGATGAGCCAGTCATAAATGACTTTGCAGCTCTGCCAGTTCTGCTAACCTGACACTTTAACTGCAGAGATTTTGAGAGATTCCCAGAATGACTCTCCTTGCAATGTCAAAGCAGGATTTCCACCATCAACATCTGTCACTGTCCTTTGGAGGATTCTGAATCACTACGTTTATAAACTGACCTGTCTAAACTCTTCAATAATACCTGGATAATTTACTCTGCTTACATCACATATGGTTTTATGGACTTTTGAGTCAATGATTGCCTTATAAAAGCATTTAATAACTACAATTTACAGAAGAGAATTCTTATAACTTCTTAATCTAAAGAAAACTACTCTGGATTTGTAGATAGAAGTCACTTTCTTTGATCCCAATGTCTTTTAGCAATAGGTTCAGGACACCAGAAACATGCAGGGCACAGATTTGTATTTTCTCTCTTACTGACACAAATCAAGTGCAGATTTATCAAGCTGTGAAATATATTAAGTTCACATGGTTTTAACAAAGGGTTACCAAACCTCAAGAACCCGCTGTGATTCAAACTACTTTCAGATGTCCTTTTAATTATATTAAATGAAAGTTTGGGTTGGCTTTGATGCTTATGGGCAAACACTGAAATCTCTTGAAAGAGCTGCTAAAAGTACTCCCTGTTGCTGTAGTTAATACACTACAATTTATGCACACTGCTGGCCAATTTATTCTGGCCACTTTAACAAGGATATCCAGCCTGACAGGCCACACAGAAGAGTATCACAAGTCAAGCAAAGCACGAATCATTAGAGAACTCCGAAAGTTGTTTGACATGCACCACAGAGCTCTTTGTCACACAGCCAATTAAGTGACCAAACAAGGAACTCAAAAATACTCATTAATTTCTCCGTAGCAGTATAAATGGAGGTTAGCATCCTTCTTGCCTCATATACCAAAAGCACACAAGTCACACTGGCATAATTCAATTTGCACATTGTCAAAGGTGCAAGTAGCAACTTTGGTTCACAAAAAGTCTGGATTAAAGACAGAAAATTAAGGAATAGGTAAAAATGTTTAGATAATACCTATAATAATAAATATCTGGACTTTGGAGTTTTAAAATCAAGTATTGACTTTATTTTTATCCTTGAAAATCTGTTTCAGTATTTCTGAGCAGATCCAGCAGCACTTGACATCATTTCCTTCGCTACGAAACCTGAACTTGAGTGGACTCCTGGATGCTTTCCTCTCTAGGTCTTCCTTCTTCTTTAAGGCTGCTCCATCACTGGTTTCTCTTCTCCCTGATGTCTTAATGTGACAGTGTCCTGGGACTCAGTCCTAGATTCTTTTCTCTAAGCTCACCATCTTGATGGATTTATCTACAACATGGGTTGTAAATGTCACTTAAAGTGAAACATTATGAAATTATCTCAAGTCTGACATCTCAACTGAACTTCAAGCTTATATATCTAACTGCATGTTTAACACCTATGTTGCATATCTAATAGGAACCTCAAAGTTAATATGCTCCAAATAAATTGTTCTGCCCTACCCAATAGGTCACAAATTAGGTCATCTTAATAAATGGTGTCTTCATTCTTCAAGATGCTGAGGCAAAACACTTTCTGTAATTTTAACTTCTGACACTTCACATACAATCCCTTAGCAAATCCTGTTTTTCCCACTTAAAAAAGTCCTGAATGTGTAAGCCCTGGCTGGTGTAGCTCAGTGGATTGAGCGTGGGCCTGTGAACCAGAGTATCACAGTTCAATTCCCAGTTGGGGCACGTGCCTGGGTTGCAGGCCAGTTCCCAGCAGGGGACACATGAAAGGCAACCATACATTGATATTTCTCTCCCTCTCTCCTTCCCTTCCCCTCTGAAGATAAAGAAAATAAAATCTTTTAAAAAGTCCTGAATGTGAATAATTATCTCTGCATCTCATACTCATTTTTTACTATAAGTGACCATTATTTTTTCTTTATTATTGAATTTATTTGGGCATCATTGGTTGATAAAATTATGTAGGTTTTAGGTATATAGTTTCTATAATACATCATCTGTGTATTGTACTGTGTGTTCACAATCCCAAATCAAATCTCCTTTCATCAACAATTATTCCCCACTTCTACTGCTACCGTCCCCCTAACCCTCTTTCCTTCTGGTAATCACTGTATTGTTGTGTAGGTCTTTAAGTTTTTTTTGGTTAATGTCTTCACCTTTTTTACCTAGCCCCATAACCTCCCTCCTCCTTGCCCCTACAGACGTCAATCTCTTCTCTGTATGTATGAGTTTGGGAACAGTTTGCCTCTATTCACTATTTCTAAATTGTACCCTTGTTTCAACCCTTAGTTTTCCTGCTGTAATCTACCCTCCACTTTTTCAATTTATCAGTTCATGTCATCTCTCTGGTCAGAAACCTACAGAGCTTTACACTGTCCCTCTGAATAAAGGCCAAAGTCCTTGCAATGGTCCATCAGATCTGGGCCCCACTGACACCTTCATTTGGCTCCAGTGGCACTGGCCTCATGGAATTTTTAAAATTTCATTTTATTTATTTATTTATTTACTTACTTATTTATTAGACAGAGGGGAAGGGAGGGAGAAACAGAGGGAGACAAACATCAATGTGTGGTTGCCTCTGGAGCACCTGCCACAGGGACCTGGGCCCTGATTTGGAATCCCATGGGTGACCCTTTGGGTCCCAGGCTGTCACTCAGTCCACTGAGTCACACCGGCCAGGGGTCTTTTTTTCAAATTGAATATGCAAAGTTCTTCAAGTGTATTTCATTCCTATTTTATAGAGAGTTCAGAACATGCTCTGAACATAGAAACAATAGTGAACACAAGTGTTTAAAATTCAAATAGACTAAAGCATTATTCACTCTAGAAATTCATTGAATAATTAAGACTAACAGAAGTAATGCCATGTATTAATGAACACAGCATTTCCTCTTCACCAATATTCTGTGTGTATTTGGTGCTTTGAAGATGTTTGGTCAATAGAGGAAACATTTACCTATAGCCAAGCAATTATAACAACAGGAAATCAGCCACTGAATAAACCATGCTATTAATTTTCCATCAGAGATTTGTGTTTGAATGACCGTGCATTTCATAGATTTACATACTGAAAGGCTAATTATCTCCAAGGCCCCATTGAGGGGTTAGCACAGATTGCAATCAAAAACAATTCTAAAATTGCTCAGAAATGATCTTCAGCTTTCATTGCTGGAGAATACTTTCATTACTCTATTGCACATACTAAGAGGAGAGGATATATATATATATATATATATATATATATATATATATCCCCCAAAGCAGTTTTATTTCCTTAAACCTTAGAAAAATAAACTTGAACAGTTTCTGACACACAAAGATTCACTATTTCATAAAGTAAAATATAAAAACTTATCTTCCTAACTTCTGTTTGATATTCAAATTATTCCTTCTTTCTTTTTAAATGACTCACAAAGTACCCTCCTTGTGAATAAACTGATCAGATTTAGTTTCTGAACTGCCAATCTGAGAACCAACAACTTTGGTTTCTGAGGGTATCTCTCTTTATATATGCAAACTAGCCTTCCTCTTTAAAAATGATACAATATACACAAAGAATAAAGTTTATAGTCCCAGTTTCATATTTTTCCTTCCTTCTTGATGAAGGAGAGCATCATATAGCACCCCAAACTGTTCACTTTGATGTGTGGACAACTTTCAGCTGAAGGTCATGAAGACCAGCAGACTCAGGACCATTTTTACCTCTCCCTTAACTACCTTAAAGAATTTAGATGGGGAGCCTACATCAGAAAAAGAAGTATTACCAGAAAAGTCATTATTTTTTAATTTGAAAGATTTGTCTGCTCAGCAGGGCCAGCATCTGTTTACCGAACATCTGTGCTTCTCGTTCTGTTCATTTCCCTCCTCCCCTCTGAAGCATCGGGCCCCATCCCTTTCCGTAGCCCAGAATGGCATGTAAACCCCAACTGCGCCACTGCCTTTGAGTCTCCTGTCTTCCTAGGGCTCCCACACATAGTTAAAATTCTTTTTTTTCCTGCTAATCTGTCTCACATCAATTTTATTATTAGACCAGCCAAAGAACCTAGAACGGAAGAAAGGAAAAATTTCCGCCCCTACACTGCCTTTCTTCCTTTCTTGTAAAAAGAACTATACAGCTTATTACTGGGATTTTTTGTTTCATGAATAACTCATAAATATTGAAATGGTTTTTATCTTGCTTAGAAACAGACTGCACCATGTCAACTGCAGAAAAGTTACATTTCCTTTGGGATTAGTCGCAGCCTACCTTGGACACTGTGGTACAGAAGCACAGTGCAGCAAGTATCCCGGACTGCCCTATCTTACATGACTCTGATTGTCATTCTGGATGACTTGCTACTGAAACATTAGCTGGCCCAATATATTAATGAAATGTTTTTATACACACCTCTATGAAGAAATCAGAGAGAAATACATTACACCCAACTCACCTTTTAGTGTGGATCACATTTCTCACGGCACAAGCTGCACCTTCTTCTTAGTCTTTGGGTCTCTTGTATGATGGAGCATTGGCATTGCCACATCTTTCCAGCACATACCCTTCCATACGATTTCTCCATTCCCACCCTTGGTGCCCTCCCTGAAATTTCTTTAGTTCATAGTGTTTACTACATTGTTTTTCAGATGCCCATACATGCTATCACCAGCAAAGACAATTCAACAACTTAACACATTTATAAAAACGCAGAAAGTACCTGGACATAGGCTCTGCAAGAGCGCTCTCTTTTCTGAAGCTGAATCCATTAAGACAGCAGATTAAACACAGAATAGAAAAAACAAGTTAGTGACAGAAGGAACAAGAAAAATAAAAGAACACATCTACACAAAACACCATATTTTGTCATGTGCTACTTTCCAGAAGAGAATGAGAGCTAAGCAGAAGCAACATGTAAGCCCTGGCTTGAAAAATAGTGGCCAACACACTTTCCAAACAACCCAGGTGAAAACTCGATGGTGTGAAGCTGTTAATGACAGAAAGAAATGTTGGAATAAACTTAGTAGAAATTAGTAAAAGTCAATATACTTCATTCATTTGAAATGATACATTTCCCATCATGTTAGTTATTAATTCATGGGCCACAAGTGAAGACATATGAAGTTAAGGAATTTATGACAAAAATTTGGAACCCACGTTTCAAAGATAGGATGTTGTTTGTGGTTCACATATTATATAGAGGGTTAGTATGCAACCACAAACTATGTGTTCAAACATACAAAAAATTCTGTTTATTAGAAAAATAGAAGTGCCCATTCATTATGACTATTTGATTCTAAGGGACAAATACCAAGGGATAAGTAACTTCTGATTAAAAGACTGTAAACAATATCCTGATTTACCACTGCTCTTATTTCTTCAATAATTTCTTTTGACAGTTCTGAGCAAATAAAAGTGTATACATTTTAGAAACTTCTGGGGGATAGGAAGCCTGTTTTTAATTCTTTATTTGCATACACAATGATGTTTTACTGAACAAAGATTAACAGCAAGTCATGTTCAGTCCCCAACAAACATTTTTTTCCAATAATAAAAAAGAATAAAAAAGCTTATTTGCACTATTTAAATAAATGGCCCCAAATTACATAAATTAGATTGCGGGTTTCCTACTCTTTCTTATTTTTTTCCTTCCATAGCCTTGATTGTTGAAGGAGAAAATTGCTCAGTTTTGAGAAGCAGTCACTGTGATGCCTTTTGTGTGGCTAACACTCTCCCAACTTTAGTGCATATGTTCTTCAACGGGCACAGAGCTGTTACTCCTCTAAAGAATTAAGTGAGGAATGAGTGCAAGTAAATTACCAGTGCTGTCATTTGGATCACTGACTCGCATCTTGAGTTTTGCAGGACTCTAAACCCTCCAGAATTTCAACATGGAGCACGATTGATTTGTAAGGAGTTGACTTTGCAAATGTGATGGGTTATAACTGTTTCAGGGAACAGTGCAAACCGCAGGAAATGAGAACAAGCCAGCAAGCAGGTGAATAACCTTTGCCCTCCCATCTCTTTACTGCACCATGCAAATTAACATATGACAAACCACATTATATAAACAATTGAAAAGAGCCAAATGGAAAAAAGAGAGAGAGCATTAAAAAGCTTCACAAATGGAAATTTGCCCATTATGTAGTTATTTGATATTCAGAGAAGGCAAGCTGATTAGCTGTAGCCAGTTAGAATGTGACATTAATTGCCAGCTTTACCTGATATTTTCAGACATCAGCACTACTTTTAAATAAATATACAAAGTATTGCTATAACAAGTAATGTTATGGATATGTAACATTAATAGAAATTACTACTCGCAGTACATTATGATAACAATAGCTGGCAGCAATATTCATTAATAGCATCTAGTCAGCCTGCATAATAACACATTAAAATCACAGCACGCCCAGATTACTTAGGCAACTGTAGATTATATTCTACCAAGGGCTTGGTTGATTTTATCATGGATTTAACTGACAAAAATAACTACTTTATGCTCTGTAAAAATAATAATTTTATCTAAAAGATAAAACTGAGTATGCTTTCTGAAGATGAAATTGCAACAAAAAAACTTGCCAGATAAAATCAGGCTTTCTTGTCATACCATCACTATTTAAAAAATTTCTTCCATCTTAATGAGTGAAATCCTTAGTTTAATAATGCACAAAAGATATATATATATATATATATGTATATACACACACACACATATACCATGCTGCAGAGTTGTTTTTCATTTTAAAGGGAAATGTTCATTTAGTGAATTCCATGGAGGACATTGTCAGTGCCAAATTCTTACTATTTAAATAGTAAAATTACCATGATATTCAAGGCTTTAAAATGCAGTTTTAATAACTGATCACAAATAACTAGCACACAAATACTTTTCAGAGAACACAAGTCATTTGATGGTAGCAATTCTAATATATCTTTACCATGAAGTTGATTCACCATGTGATGTGTTGTTACATAAATTATATTCATTATGAATGTAAAATATACATTTTATATATTTAATAAGTAAGGTGCTTGTATAGTATATGGGTTATATACGATATACATATAAATGCTTATATGTGTGTATAATGTATACATTTGCATTTATAAATATAAGTAAAATATATAAAATGTATGCTTTCTGAAATTTAAAAATGACTATTAAATTGGCTGAAATGCATTAAACCTTTTAAGTTTTATTGTAGTGATATAAAATCTTAGCAATTTAAATATCAAAAGCAAATAAAAATTAAAACCTAGTTATCTGCCTGGGGAGTTTTTAAATATAATAGTAATTAGATTAAATTATTTCATTTTTAAAATACCTAGATTACTTGCTAATATCCCTTCTCATTGTTTCTATTTTCTAAATTTCTACTTATTGATTAGACATTTGTTTTACTGTTAATCATTTTAATATAAACATTTGAAAGAAAAAAATAGAAACAAAATAAATTACATTTATTGATCCTGCCAGAATTTAGCACACAGAGCAGAGTAAACAGTATTAAAAATATAGAAGTGTAAATTTAAAACATATATGGAGAGATTATTATTTTGGGGGATTAAAAGCTAAACCGAGTCATAATTATAATGAGATAGTGAAACAAACTGACTAGGTAACTAGCAGTGCTCTTTAGAATGATCTGATTTTATCTGAAAAAGAAATTAACCAAGGAAGTCTCACTGACTTTACTGCAAATTGAAAGTTCTGTATCACTAAGGTCTTTACCTTGTTCAAGCTGCGTGCAGCGCTGTCTTTTCCACCTGGGGTCAAGTTCCGGAGCTGGACGTCCAGGAGGCCTACCAGCTGGTCCATGGCACGGACAGAGTAGGTGATGTCTCCAGCATTCAAATGATTCCGTGTTTGTTCAGCCAGCTCTCTAGCAATGTTGGCAGCTGTCTCTCCAGATTTCAACTGCAATTTTGAAAACAGAATAAGAAGGAAAACCATCTTAAGTAATTTTATTGGTCTCTGTGGATAACTGTTTTGCATATAAGTATAATCATTGAGCCAAGAAATAGTGATGAAACTCCATCTTTGTCTGGAATATATTCTCTGAGTTTTCCTGTTAATCCATTTTTCTCTACAGCACCTGATTTGAAATTCATGTCTTTATGAAGCTCCTCCTGAGGAATCTAACTGCAAAAACTTGTTCGTACCTTAATTATCCATTTGGGTGGCTAAGTCTATTTGCCCTATGATTTTTCTAAGTTTCTAAATTGGATGTTGATGAGGTTGCATTATGAATCCCCAACCGTATTCTTAGTTCTCAGAGGCAAGTACAAATTTTCCATTGTGCCTAATTCAGCACTTAGTATACAATGAGTACACACAGCCTGCTAAGCTCTGTGAAATTTTATTCTAAATAAAATCTCTGCCTTTCAAAGTGGTCTTCATCCTCTTAACTACTAAATAGATATTTTGCTCCTAGTGCCCTAGGTAGCAAACTATTGCTGTTTCTAGCATTTTTCCTTTTCTGAAACTGTATGCAGATTTTGCAAGTACATTCTACAAGAATATATCAAACACCAAAATTCCAAAGATGTTCGAAGAGATAGAGGCTAATCCCATAATCATGTAAAGAAATATAATGGCTGTGGATAATAACAAGATAGAAATACCTTGCTCCATTATAACTTAAACATATTATTGTCAGTGTTCAGCAATTATTTTTCTTTTTTTAATGACAGTGCAATATAGAACTTAGGGTCATGAACAGAAAAGTCCTCTCTTTTCAATGCAGTCTTGCTCATGGGTATTCGGAAAGCTCTTAAAGACCACAACTAACACGCCTCGTCAAGGAGATCATCACTATCCACTCAGGGATGCTCAACAGATGCTTGCAGCAGGATTGAATATTAAACAAATGAATCAACTGGAGTGACATGAACATCAAAATTGTTCATCGCCATATCCTCAAGTGCATAGAACAATTTCATTCACAACATTGAAACATTTAGTAACATTAAGGGTTGGCAAGGATTTGGGGAAATGTGTATCTCCCTCAGAAACCACTCCTGTGTATTTGCACAGCCTGGGTAGTGCAAATCATCAGTTTAATGTATTTATTATATTTTACGTAATATATATAAAAATGAGTTTAATGTTTTTGTAGAATCATTATTGTTTTACTTTGTTAATCATTCTGGTCTTGTGTAGTTGTTTTATTATCATTGATGTTGTTGTTCTTGTTATTATTACATTGTTTTCTTCTGTTGATTACCACATAAGACTGCACTGACTTTCATCACATCTATCAGGGAACATTGTGAAAAGCAAATTATTTATTAAACAGAGAAAAAAGAAATAATAGCACTCATATTTTCATAATCTAATTTCAATTTTTCTGTTTAGATGTACATGCATAGTTTTTATTATTAATTATTACAATATCAGGGGGAACATGATAAGCTGGAAAATAAGGCTTAGGTAATTCCTTTATGCAAAGCTTTAAATTTTTTTATATATACAGTGAGGAAAAGTTGAAAAATGTAGATGACTAATAAGTTAAAATATAATTGTTCTCAACATTAAAGATGATGATGCCGACTATATATGTATCAATAGCAGATAAAAACAGAGAGTCAGCTATGAAAATTACTAGTTCAGTATCTGAAAAGTCATAGCTACATGGTAGCATTCAAGAAGTACTCCTTTATGAAGAATAAATCTAATTAACTCTGCAAAAGGACTCTTAAACTCAATATGCACCAACAAGAAAGTTGTAAAACATATCCCAAAAGTATAAATTAGTTATAAAATGGTTGATAATAAAAAAATATGAGGAGCATGTTTTTAAAGTAAAATAAAAATCATGCAACTATTCATCTGGATCCCGTTTTTCTCTTATAATTGCAGAAACTACGGTAAAAAGTATTTCATTCACTCAGGAATCATTGGGGCACTCGTTATTCCTTGGGTAAATGAAAACCAATGTTATGCAGCTTTTGTACTTGGGAAGCTCACCCTACCAGTTGGGGTTGGGTAGAGCATGAAGGGGATAAAGACATGATATTAATTCAATAATGCAAATTTTAATAACAGGAATGTATATGAGGTATTATGGAAATATAGCACGGGGGTCATAAACACCGAGAACTGGGATGGGAAGGCAAGAGCAGGTAACAACCAGTAAAGTTTAGAGGAAGTTCAAGGTCACTTTGGGAAGACAGGCTTTCCCAAGCCAAAAACATGGCTTGGGAAAAATACGTTTATTTTTACCTTCACAATTCCGTATTGATATCTACATAGCATAAGTTGTATATGTACGTAATGAATATATATTATATCGAGTCTTTAAAAAATAGTATGAATATATCTTTTTCTACCTTTTATTTCAACAATTATTTATTCTGTCTGTATGTTCCCTTGCTTTTTAACCAACCTGAATTGATTGCAGAAGTATTTAATTCAAATTTTATGTAGTGCAATACAGAATTTCAGTTTAAGGGCATTTTAACCTGGTGTATGAAGTCAGGGAATAATTTCAGAAATGCCTCTCTAAGGAAAGAAGAAATTGGGTTGGGATGAGGGTGGGTGTCTCCAGGTAGAGAGGACAGCTTTGGCAGGGGCACTATAACAGGTTCAAGCGGCTGGGGAGCCGAGCAAGGAGAGGATTCAATAGCCCCCTTAAGTCATTATGAAGATTTTGAGAACCATGTCAAGAGGCAGGTAAGGTACTAAAGTGTCTGACGAGGAGTGGTCTAATCAGATTAGCATTTGAAATAAAACTCAGGAGAAAGAGTTAGAGCAGCAGTTTCAACCAGCTTTCTGTGGCACTCTGGTGTGCCACAGAGATTTTTAAACATGCAATACTTGACTATTTAGTCAGGGGTACTGACCTCTTTTCCCTGAGACTGTCAAATAAAAAATGACAACAGCCAACAGAACATTAGCTGTCCAGTGTGAACGAATCAAGTTTGTCCTTATTATTTTTTGTCAGTCTGGCAGAAAATACAGTACATGTTTTAGTGATTGGCAGAATTGTAGTAATTAATGTGTGCCATTGCACAAAAAGGCTGAAAATCGCTGAGTCAGAGGTTTCAGGGAGTGAATGAAAGGAGGCCTGCGGTGAGAACAGGCTGCTGTGGGTCAGGGTGGCAGCAGTGAAAAGGGGCCTGACAGGGAGAGACTCCCAAGTTCATGGACAGGCGTCCCGTCTGATAGGGAATGGGAGAGGAAGGAAGGCCAGGCCCAGGCTTCTTGTTTCCGTGAGTCAAAGGCGTGCCCTTAACTGGATTCTCCCACAGCCACTGAGACCTCAACGGTCAGGGCTCAGTTAAAGGCTGCCTTTCCAGACCTGGCCTTCACTGGCCATATTCTTTCTGCTGGCATCCGGAAGCTATCCTACAGTCTTTCCGAGACAGTGTGATTCCTTTTTATCCCCATTGTTATCATGGACAACAATTATCTTACTTCCACTAAAAACTATGAACGTATCTTTAATCTGCATCAAGTCTTCTATGCAGAGGCAAAATCGCAACAGTTATCCTGCATTTTCTAGCTAACAGATCTTGCTAAAATGTCTATCTCTAATATTTCTTCTACCAAATTCTACTAAAATTATTTCTGAAATAAGCACATGCACATGGAGAAAGTGCATGAGTTTTCTGAGTTAGTAAATTAATGCCTATATTGAAATGGTGGGATTGTAGCTAGGATTCAAACAGGTGAGGGGGAAACCCTGCGGCTTCACCCAAGGAATACAGTCATGACAGAGATGGATATTTCAACTTAGTTACATCTCAACTTTAGACAAAAGTAAAAACAACTTTCTTTGAAAGAAGCTTGACATTTGATGAGGTTTATTACATCCAACATTAATGTGGTTTCGAAACAATTCATGAAGGATTTACTCCTAGTGTTGAAGTATATGGTACTATTTCACTGAAAGATCTATCTATTTTGCTATAAATCCGAGCCACATAGATATGTAAACAATTAAATGCTTCTTTCTTACACCTGAAAGAAGGTTAAAATAAGACTAAAGTCTTGAAAACCCCACTAAGTTCTGATAACATGAAGAAGCAATTTACTTTCATATTATGTTGAAAAAGAATGGAGGAATTGAAATCTAAGTAACAGGTTTGAACCTAGTCTTCCAGGGCAAGTAACTGGCTTACTTCACATTGTAAAATTGCAATAATATTTTTTTACATCTACACATCTTTCCTTTAAAATTGCAGGAAGAACCTGATTTCCCTCAGAATTTGTCAATGTCTTGTGTACAAACAAAGGAGACAGTTCAGTTTGCTAGAAATAGAAAGACTTTTTCTTAGTGACAATTCAGGCATTTCTTTTGCATACAATAGTTGGAGCAGGTAATGAAATAGGATGCACACCTCACTTTACATGCAAATAAATATGAAAGCTATTCAAAACTATAATCTCACAAATTTTAAATTGAAACAGAGTGGAGAGATTGTAAACTGCAATAAACTCTTTAAAGGTATGCAAACCAGAAAATATAAACCTTTTTTGAAAATAGGACTCTAAGCAAGAGATCAAGCTGAAGCTGGAGACCATAATTTTAGTAAACAGTCATTAAGAAAGGTGAGAAAATAGAATATTTTGCCACCTAATGGATGTTTGGGAAGACAGAGCTCTGGATTAATTTGTTTGCTTTCAATTAAAACTCAGAAGTATTTGTAACACATTAATGTGAAGACGTAGCTATCTTTCCATCCATCCATTTATTTTTGCCCGCCTTTCCTTCTATCTATCCCACCACCTCTCTGTCCACCCCCACCAGCTTTTCTCCCTCTCTCCCTCCCCTCCTCTCCTCTGTTGGTGCCGAGGTAAAAGGGATCTTTGTGCACAATTTTTGCCTTTCCCTTTCTGTATAAATTATGCTTTTAATTTAATTTCATCACTCTGAAAATATTCTGGCTAGTGTGTTTCTAATAAATTTCTTCAAGATATTTTGATTTTTAAAGGCTTACATTTTTCTCTAGCAACATGTAATCTACTCCCTATTACCACATGGAATTTAATTTATTATGCCACCACTATGCAAGTGGCCCAAATTCATCTGCGAGTCAGAAGCCGCCACGATTCTTTGCCTGTTTTCTCCCTCCTGGCTTGACTACAGGGGAAAAATCATAACTCATTTCTTAGGAAAAATGAAAATATAAAGTTTGCTCTTCCCCACTAAAGTAAGCCTCCTGATCCGTTTATTTGTGTATGCTTCCTGTCTACAATGCCTGACATACGTGAGCCAATATCATCGATAACGAAAGGGATGATATTCCCATAGTGAAGATGAAGACTGTGACCCAGAGCTGTCCTCTCCTTTCAAACCCTCAGAAGTACTATGAAGCCAGAAAGGTGCCTCACACTCCAGGGTGCGCTCACCAGCAATCCCTTGCAGAGTGGGAACTGAGTACACTGTTTCAAGAAGAGAATGTCCCTGTCCTTTCTTTTTTCACATATGCTTTCATAGGGGCAAACAGCATTCCTTCACTTTAAAAGTCTGAAGTTCACAGAATTACAGTGGAGGAAGGAGGGGAAGAGTGACTCATTGAAGACTTCTATTTCACTTTAATCTTCCAACATGGCATTTAAAAAACCCATTAGAGAAAAGGGTGGGGGAGGCCAGAGCAAAGGACAGGGGGTGGGACAAGGGAAAGGAAGGAGGGAAGTTGCGTGAATGAAAGAGAGAAAGGGAAGAGATTTAGATGGAGACAGCCAGGGTATGAGAACAGGAGGTAAAAACTGAGGCAAACTGGGCATTTTCCCTTTGCTAGTTCAAGGCCACTTTCTATCCTCCTCCATCAGGTTCTCTGTCTCAGCAGGAGGACTTACATGTACCTAATATTAAGAATGTCCCTCTTCTCTGGCTTCCTTTTGGGTTTGGCCAATGAGGAGCTTGGGAAGGTGAACGAGCAAAGAGAAAAGTGAGGTCAGGGATTTATTACCCTGGATTTGTTTTTGAAATGTTTCTTGAGGCTAGGCTCTATCTCTTGTCTATATATCATCTTTCCTCTCAGGGACACCCTGCTTTCAATTTCTAGTCATTCCTTGGATCCGGCAGCCACAGGCCTGAGTTTGGGAATAGCTTTACTCCCGTTACTAGCTCAGGATTCCTGATCTGTCTTCTGCAGTTCAGCTCTGCTCCTGAAATTCCGCTGTAAAAATAACCCTCTTCCAATGTTCCGTCTGCTTGTTGCTGGGGCTCTGGCACAGAGGGAGGAAATGAGCAAATGTATGGATTTGGAAGAAGATGCTTTGAGGAAGAGGGAAAGAAAATACAAATAATTTTGTAAACACCGCATTCTAACTCTCTTTTAAGAAGAAACCTGTGCAAGTGTCATTTTCATCCAAAGAGTAGCATACGTATTTAGTGGTGTGAGGGACACACCAGGTAAAAGGGTGGGAGGAAGTGAAAGAGACTAGGTCAGTGAGTATGTGATATAAAGGCAATCATGATCTATCCCCAATTAGCCAGTGTGGGGGCTGCACATGAAGTCTTGATAAAGGCAGACCCAACCGAGACACCAGCTCCAACACGAACCTTGGGTTGGTTACATAAGCCAATCTTCAGTGCTCTGAAGACTACTGTTATCCTTTTGAAGATTTTATAAATTTAAGTAATCGTGCAAAGGTATTATTATAAGTTCCAATAAGCCTAAATCCTAGAACGTTAATAAAATTATAAGAGCATAATTTTATCGTTCTACAGTATTAAATAGAAATGCTCAGGAAGAATGGAACATATTTGTTAGAAAACAAAAGCACCCCATCCATAAATCAAATGGACAACAACAGCTGTCTGCTCTTTGCAAGGAATTATCTCTTTTGTCATAAGATTAGCAGGTCTGCAGAGGAAAGAAGAGAATTAAGCATTATTAAAGTCGCCCAGTAATTTCTGCAATAAAATACCCCAACCATATTCAGGAATTGTCATGAAAACTACTCAGCGTTCTAGATGAATTATTACTGAATTAATATTAACCCCTGGGCTAAGAATGTAGGGAGTATTTCTTAAAAGACAGTAATGCAAGGAGATAGGTTACTGATCTCTTAATCTGATCACATCTAGCAAGAGTTATTTGCCCTGGGGTCTGAGCTACATTGTAATAAAAATCAAAGGACATAAAAACTGTGGCAGGAACAGTGCTGAAATTGGAGAAGATCGTTATGAATAGCAACAAGTATGGAGATGCATATGTAAAAGGGTAACTAGAGTTAATATAACCACTGTTCTTCCATGATTTAGGGTAAATAGATAGTTACGGCTCATCTGCTAAATGATCTACTGGGTAGATATTTATGGATTATTATACAGTATATTATTGAGGATCAGCCTAGTTAAAAACAAATAGAGGAAAGAGCAAATGGCACAGACAGGCTTTTAGTGAGGCCATCATTTGTAATATTTCTCAGGAAAAGTCTCTTTCAGAAATTCTGTAGCATAGCTAATGTGCCATAGAAGGACTCTCCATTTTGGGAGTGAATAAATCCACACAAATTGCTATAATAAAGATTCATCCCACAGCCCTTTTGGCATAAATGCACATCTGGTCTCTGTTTGTAATGAAATCAATTCGAAGCCCCACAGTGCATTAATAATAAAAATGTTCAACATATTGCAACCAAATAAGCCTTGCAAATTTGAGTCTGCAAAATTCTGTCACACATGTGTATACTTTTAACACTGATAAATGATTAGGTTACAGGACATTTATCAAATGGCTTAAATTCCAAAGGTAGACAGTTTCATTGTAATTATTATTTTCACAGGGACACCTCCATGTATGTGTGCTAGAAGCTTTTGCATGCTTGATTTATAGTATCTCTTGGACTTTTTTAATATCTCTAGTTCACAATACCACAGAAATTTTATCAATAATAAAATTATTATGAGTAATACTGCCTGGCTTAGATAAAGTTCACAGATTTGCCCTTTAAAATGAACACAATTCCAGAATTAGCTTACAGAATATCAGAGGTTGTTATTAAATTGTAAATGAAATTAAAATGAGATAATTTTTATACATTAAGAAGATCTTGACTATTTTGTTTGTATAAGTGAGGATCAACAATACAGGCCCCAGGTTTAGCAAACCTTTTTAGTCAGTTGTATGACTTACCTTCTGTGTGATATGGTTGACCCAAGGAGAAGAGCAGTTGCTCAGATCTGGTCCTTGGGGGTCCCAGATTCCATCAGGAGCCAGGCACAGATAAGTCGATACTCCTAAAATAATGAGAGAAATAGGTCTTTAGATATTCAAACCATTTTCTTATAAGGCCTTTATGTCCATGCTATGCTTTACTATGAGCAAAGGTAAAAATGAGATCATTAAACTGAGATAATGTCTATTTTAACACCATGTATAGCAACTGGCTGTGGAGAAACGTAAATGCGACAAACAAAAACACTCGATATTTTGAACTATGCGGGGAACTCTGCTGGGTACAGGGAACCACTGAATGAACCAGATGGCTATGGTACCTGTCTTCATGGGCTTCTTGCTTGAGTTTTCAGAGGCAAGGGAGCAAGTGAGTCTTATAGCAGTTTGCCGGTTTTTCAGGAAAACAATGTGGAAATGGGCATGTGCTGTGGAGGAAAAACATGCTGTGTTTGGGCAACTTCAAGTGTTTCATACTGAGGTCTTCTGGATAGGAGAGTTGTTTAATGGAGTTGGAAAGGCAGGCAAAGCCAGACTATTAACTCCCTTGTGTGTCCTCTGTGTGTGTTGGGAAATCAATGAAGATCATGAAGCAGAGGAGAGCAATGAGCTCATTAACAGAAACAACTGGGTGGTCTCATGGAGGATGATTTGAGGGAGAGATGTGGAGGCTGTGGGAAGCAGCCTGGGCCTGAACAAGAGCAAGGCAGGAGGAACCGGGAAGGGCAAACGTAAGGCCCTGGTTTATGAACAGTCACATGGGGGTGGAGGCCTCTGAAGGCTTCCTTTAAATCTCTTCCTCAGTTTTCACTGAAAAAATAATCACTTATTTCAGAGAGCAAAGTGCTTTCAAATAAAGTTACCTCGCTAACTTTGACAACAAATGTCAGAAGTAGGGAGCTGTGATAACATCATCAGTGAGGAAGGAACTGAGGTCCAGAACCAAGGGGACAGCACAGACCGTGAAGGTTTCAAACTGTTTCCTGATTCTGTCACCACAGAAAACTTTACAGCTAAACATGGCCTCCTTTCATAAAGGAAAGGTAAATTTCTGAATAGTTTTAGTCACTCTGCTGAAAAAACTATAAACATGCACCTTTGTAAAAGCCAATATACCTCTGTACTTCCCACCAGTTCATATAGGATGGGATTCAGAATGATGTATCCACTTTGGGACTTCTCTAAGAAAGACCTGCTTCCTTAAAGTAACCAAATCAATAAACAGTCAAAGATATAGCCTCTAAGAATGCTACTCCAGTAACATGTATTGTGTATTTGTTTTATTTACATACGTGGAATAATGCAAATTTTATTCACTGTACTAAGAAAAGTTTCTTGAGGATCAATGCATGTAACATTAAGAAAACCATTATTTCTGGTTTAAAAAGTGTATGTAAAATATATTTACCAATTGAGGATATTATGAATCATATCAATGAAAAAGAAGGAGTGAAGAGCTAGTTAGTTCTTAAATATCCCTTGGAGAAAATGCAGGATTGCTCACTCTGTAGCGAGTCCTGTAAGCAGGACTCTGGCTTCTGCCTGCATGAAATCTGACAATGTTAAGAGCTTTTGACTACTCAAGGACAGCTACAATGACTGGTAAAAAGAATAGTCAAACTTCTACTTTGGTAAAACTTAGGTAGTTTTAGTGCTTGTCTTCTAACAGAAAGGTGCTCAACTTCACTTTTTGCAATTGATATTTGAGGCCAGTAAGAGAGACATGAGCACAAGCCTGCAGGATTCCAGAGCTTTCTCTCTAGCTGTTGCACAGAAGAGTTGTCTCCCTGGAGTAGCCTGGACATCCACAGCCTAAGTGTAACTCCATCCACAGACTGCACACCATGGAAAAAAAGTGCTGATCTCAATGTCTTCCCATCAAATTCTCACCTGTGGCCTCTGAAGAATGCATTTTCAAATTCTGAAAACACACTGCTTTAAATTGACATTTAGATGAGTCCAAAATTTAAGTAGATGTGAAATAACAAAACAAAAAAAGAAAGAAAGAAAAGAAAAAAGTGTTAAGAAGAGGAAGCTAAAGTAACAACACACCTTCAGCTTAGCTCTGCAGGGCAAACGTACCTATAGTTCCTGTGGGACAAGGCTGCTTTGCCATCTGTCCTTGGCGGGTCTTAAACCACACAATTTCTCGGGCTTCCACAGCCTCACAGCTCTCTTCCTGAGCTGGGATTTGGGATGATGCTGATGGAAGGTGTGTGATAATGTCTTCAAGCACTTCAACAGCTGGAGATGGGGTGCTGGTACTCCGGTTCCTTCTTCCCGACACCGACGGGGTGGTACTCCTGCCTGAGCTCCAAGTTGTGGTCCGCAGGGTGGTACTGGTGGTGGTGCTTCCCATGCCAAGTGGTCCTGTAGTAGAAATTTCTGTAATAAAATTCAAAAGAAAATTCCTACATGGCTTATTCATAGTAGGACCTCAGAATGTCCTAATACTTTAGACACCATTTTTATTGGCCAGTTCAGTGTCTTAAACATGCAAAAAAATAAGCCAATTCCAAGGTCTCAGAGTGGTCCTTAAGTACCAGGACAGCCATTTAACCCATACCTACCATAGGTTTGTTTATGGTTCTTCTCAAATCACAGAAAATAAATTACAGCACAATTCAGCTGTGCAGTAAGCTTCTTAATGTTTCCTGCCTTTTATATAGTAACAGGGTTATAATTTAAAGCTCTTTCCTTAGAATTTCCAAACTTGGTATAGAAAGAGAGACAGCATATACAATATTCCCTTTTTTTAAGATTTTATTTACTGATTTTTAGACAGAGGAGAAGGGAGGGAGAAAGAGAGGAAGAGAAACATTAATCTGTGTTTGCCTCTCAAGCACCCCATACTGGGCACCTGGCCCACAACCTAGGCAAGTGCCCTGACTGGGAATCTAACCAGCAACCCTTTAGTTCATAGGCCGGTATTCAATTCACTGAGCCACACCAGCCAGGGTACAGTATTCTTTCACATTAAACATAACATGAGTATCTAAAGGTACAGCAAATAGGGGAGAGGCAAAAGAAAATCAGAAATTAAAGGGCTCATGAACTGAAAAAGTAAAACGCAATTATAGTATCCTTAACACAAATTAAAGTAGCTTGATGGATCTACCCTGATGCTTTAGAGCTTACCCATGTTATCAAAACATTCAAACTTGACATTTACTAATGTAAAATGATAAGTAGTTTTAATTAGTTATGTCCATAAATTTTTTTCCAAGATTATTTTTAAAAGGGGAACACGTATTTCAGGTTTCACATAAAAGTAGTTATGAAGCTTGATGAGGTAGCATGGGTTATTAAACCAATAATGTATTCAAAGGAATGTCCCACCCATACTATGGAAGTAATCACTGTAGCGGACCATCTTTCTGGAAAAATATATTCATATTCTAATCATAAGAATGCAAGAGTACACGCATACATACACTGCACTCCTCAGTATAAGATGAGAAACTACTGTAGTACTCCTAACCTCAGAGACTGGCAGGAAGTCTTAAGGGAATTGACTCCAGCCAGATTCAAAGTAACTCAGGTTGAAGGAACTGAAAGGAATCTTGCAGTGAGCTTCCTGATGTCTGTGGTTCATTGTCTTTCTTTCTTTAACATGTCCTCAACTTGACTGGGCTATCCCAGAAGTGCCAAATCCTTCACAATCTATCTGATGTACCTAAAGCTTCCAAAAACAGTATAGAGACGGCAGGGAGGAGTGGGCGTGAATTTCCTGTACAGTGATTCATTGAAATGGTAGCATTTTCTAAATGATGCTATTTGTTACTTGTCTTCTTGCTTGTTCTTCTGTTTCCTTCCTCTTTTCTCAGCGTTCCTCCTCTTTCTCTGTGTTCCCTCTCCATGTGAATAATAATGTGCATAAATATATTTATTCAAAGTTCGCACAAGAAGCAGAATATCTTTTTTCCTCTTCTTCTTCCATGGACAGCATCTGCCTCATTCATTTATTTTGGTCCCTCCCAGTCACCATATTCTGCTCAGCTCACCATCATCAATGGATGAAAATAGCACTTAACCTTTTTTGCTAATGAAAGCAATATCCAAGTGAAATGCCAATACTGGCATTTCAATATCTATATTTGGAAAATAAAAATTCAGAATTCATAAATAAAGTACTGACACGAACCACTTAACAATTCAAATGTAAATTTAATATAATATTTAAAAAAAAGTATAATTGGATTCTTAAAATTATATACAGTAAAAATAGGAATATAAAATATTGTATGCTTCAAAATGTTTGTTTCAAAAAGAAAAAACAAAACAATTAAGAAAACTTAATGACAACTAGAAATTTATCAATATTAAAATTAGTTAATAAATTTATATTGAATAAATATTATTTTTATTAATATTAATCATTAACCCTAAAAAACATGTGTCGGTGGTGTTGTTGCTAGGATATAAGTGTGCATTTTGTGCAAATTTTCCAGTTCATGGAAAAACTCTTTTTGATTTCATATTACTTGATGTAGTTAGGCAAGAGTTAAAAGTTAACTGCAAGTATTTTTTCCGCCTCCTTTAATTTAAAAAATTTCCTATCCCCTTGTACTCTTGAAGGGGCCATTTCAAGTACTCTGATTTTTTGACAGAGCCACTGAACTCTTCATTGATAATGAGCTACAGTTTTGTTTCAAACAGAGCATTTCTAGCTCTTATTTGTCTTATTTTGTCCTAGCAGGTAAAAATAGCGATTTATTGCAGTTAACTAGATTTTTAACTAATGCTCAAAAGTTAGAAAGTTCCTGAAGCACAGTAAAACCATATAATTCACATGCAGTGAAAAAAATTTGTTAGCCCATTGTCTCAATCACACAAATCATAGACAATCAGCAATGACACACTATCACAAGATTTTTGTTCACTCTGAATTTGTACTTGGACAATTTTGAATAGAGCTATCACTTATCATAGAGCTTATGTACATATATACACATATATGTATACATACATATATACGCACATATACATATATCCTCATATATATGCATATATCATATACACATACATATATAGGTGTGTACACAAATTATACATATCACTGCCCAATATTTAAGTGACCTAGGTTTCGGGTTTTTAAAGAGCACGCTATGACACCAAAATAGATTTAACAACAGCATCGCAAAGTAAAAATCAATGTCCTTTATTTTTCTCTAAAGTTAGCCTGTCCAACCACTCTCTACCTTGTGCCAGAGACATCTTATGTGCTATTAATTGGAATAGGTTACTCCCCAGACTAACATCCTTAAATGGTTTCTCTCTGTTTTCCAAAGGCAGGGCTCCTTTTCTCTGCTCCTAAAGCTCTTCCTAAGTCTCTATATCCAGTTTGTTTATAATGCTTCTTTATCCTTTAACTCCACACTTAAACCAAAGTTACCAGTAGTTTCCCAAGTGCACCCTTTTTCTTCTGCCTCAGGCTCTCTGAATATGCTGTAGTTTCTGGTCACATTTCCACCTAGTTAATTACCATTTATTGTCGGGCTTGGATTGAATGCCCCTTCCATCAAGGGGCCTTTTCGAATTCACCAAAGTGGGGTTTTATATGTGCATGTGTTTTGTTCAAGATTATTTCCTGTTAGCCTTGTGCCTGATCACGAATAAATTAAATCTCAGTCAAGACAGGTGAACATCAGCGATGGTCAAGAAAGGAGAGAGGGTCTAGTTGTGAAATTGCACAAAAGAAGGGAAAAGATAAATAGTGGGAAACAGTAAATAAGGCAGCTGAAAGTTCCTACAGTTAATAGGATAAAAAAGTGGTTTATTTATTTATTTATCCATTCTCATCTGAGGATGAGGTTTTTTGTTGTTGTTGACTTTAGAGGGAGATGGAGGGAGAGACAGAGAGAGGCAGAGAGAGAGAGAGAGAGAAACCTCCATCAGCGCCTCCCATTAGCACCCCGACGGGGGATGGAACCCACAACCTAGGTGTGTGCCCTGGCTAAGAATTAAACCCACAAACCTTTTGGTGCATGAGACAATGCTCCAACCAACTGAGCCATCAGGCCAAGGCCTGGGGAAGTTATTTTATAAATGCATTTTTCTCTACATTAAAAAAAATCACTAGAAATCTTAGAGAGAAAATAAGCAGGGATGATACTAAACCCCCTCTTTCTCAAAACGATTCCATTTGACAACAACCACATTTATATTGACTCTTTATAGTCCTCTTACAAAGCACTAACGCTGACAAAGAAGATTTTTTTAAAGTTCAATTTGGTGTGGCATACATTGTAAGCACTTCATTTAATATAGACATACTAATATTAAGGCTCAGAAAGGAATGTATTTCCTTGGAACGGTGCCACGGAGAGATGTCCACACGCAGGGTCATATCATCCCGTTTGAGTTTAAGCAGAATAAAAGTCAATTTTTAAAGTCATCCTTGATCCCCATCCTTCCCTTCCCATTTACTGCTGTGTAAGACTCCCAAGGGATCTGCTCAATGCCACCTTTCGACAGAGTAAGTACTCGTGGTATACAAGTTGTCACCAGTGCCCCAGAAAGAACTTGTGCCGTTGCTAGATGCTGCAAATAAAGATCTAGATTCACTGAAGAGTCACGGCACCCCCTTGGCGAGGCTCCAGCCTGTATCATATGCCTTGGGAGTGTGTTTCTCTCTGTTCTCCAGCAGGGGAGAAGCGAATGACACATTTTGGATGTGTACTCTTATCAAATCTTACCTGGTGACATCGCTAGTAATGAAATTATATGGTATTAAGTACCCCACGTGCCTGTATATCAAAGAAAGGTCACTGTGTAAAAGAAAATAAGTTTGAATAACCACTTACATATGAAACCTTATCAAAATTGTGCAATTTTCTTAATTATTTTGTCATTGTGCTCATAAGATTACTGCTTTCATAAAAGTAACTAAAAAAACTTCAACTAACATTTTCCTCTCATAGTTAACCTTGTTTCCAAAAGAAAATTTTAATTATCCTGTCCCCTGAAATGTATTGCCAATGGGTTATTTCATTCTTTTATTTTGATTTGTTTTATTTTTTCCTTCTGCTTTGAAAAGAATAAATATCATTTTGAATACACCCACAGGTTGTAAGTTTGTGTTGTATACTAATAAAAAGCAGTAAATATAAGCAATGTTTCTATAGTGTTTTACCTTTTGCAATGTTTTTATTTACCTTTATTATCTCATTGAATTCTGAAAAAATACTTAGAGTAAATGTAAGTATGAATTTCTACTATTACAAATGAGAAAACATAAGTTCGAATGGTACATGCATCATAATCATACATGCAATAGGTAAACCACTGTTCCCAGATTCCATATTCTGTCATTTTCACAATAAGGCATTGAAATGATATTCTCGGGGCAACAGCCTGCTGCCCGGAGCAGCTCTCTCCCCGCA